AATATGGAATGGCATTAAATTATGAATTTGGACATGGAATGAACACCATTGTGTTCAGGCCGATCTCTACATTTTGTAGATATGCCAAATGAGCAAATCTAGGCACTTTCCATAAATAGCATTTGGGACCGAAATGAGACTAACACAAAGGACATGATAGCAAGGGTGTTGTAAGCAACCAAAGGGAACGACTCGAGAGACGATCCATGGGGTTCAAATATAGAGGGAAAGGGCCCATGAACAAGAGTGCACCCCCTTTTCCAAACGGTTAAGGGTCTTGGGATAGTTGGAGTTAAGCGTCCTTGGGTTTGAATAGTACTGGGCTGGGTGACCTCCCGGGAAGTCCAAACTCAGGAGCTTACATTTGGTATCAGAGCGGTCTCGGGTCCGACTCTGTTGGTTGGCTAAGGGAATCACACCACATGTTGATTGACATCTGGCTGGTCCAGTTTGCTCCCGCTGGGCTCGACCCGAGGGGTAGGGTGTCAAGAGAGCGAGGCTCTCGGGAGAGCTGCGGCTCTCAGCTTCCGTTCACGAGGGAGAGCTGCGGCTCTCAGCTTCCGTTCACGAGGGCATGAACTTGCAGGGAAGCGTGGTGGATTGTAAGCAACCAAAGGGAACGACTCGAGAGACGATCCATGGGGTTCAAATATAGAGGGAAAGGGCCCATGAACAAGAGTGCACCCCCTTTTCCAAACGGTTAAGGGTCTTGGGATAGTTGGAGTTAAGCGTCCTTGGGTTTGAATAGTACTGGGCTGGGTGACCTCCCGGGAAGTCCAAACTCAGGAGCTTACAGGTGTTTGGCAGACACGGTAAGCTATCATCCAACGATATTGAGGGACCAAGCTCAATATCACGGGGGTTCTTGATACTAGCAAGTGCAAGCCAATGACAGGAGTTTCTCAAACCAGGCTGAGTATGCTCAGCAAGAAACACATAGGAGTTCCTACCTTATGTTTATCCGATTTAAGTGCACAGTCATTGATTAGTTTCTCAACTAGCTCAAGTGGGAATTGATAATGGGTCCAACAATACTGACCTTCTACCATCGTGGCAGTAAGGAAAGAATATCCAAAAGGACTAGCCAATAGGTAACTTTCGATACCCGAAGTCACATTTGCAACACTCTCCCCCCCTAGGGAATATTGACATCCTCGTCGATGCATACTCGAGTCTAGAATACCACCAAGGAAACAACTCTAGAAAAAGTTCACGGTATTCACACTATGTGAGAAATGCATTAACTTAAATGAGTTAGGGTAACCTCTTTGTCTAACGCAGATGTGCTACCAGCTCAGACACGTTCTAGCCATCGCCGACAAGAAAATGGCTAAGGGAGTTAGCCACCCTTGCTACTCTGGGTGTCACTCAGTTTATAAAAGTGTGATATGCCCTTACCCGGAGGAACATAGAGAGAGAAGCCAGAGGCCCCAACCCTCCTGAGCAAAGAAACCAAACCTATTAGTAAGGTTTAGATAGATTATTGTAAACAGGCAATTAAAGTTGTTTATATGGTCATGCCCTTTCACGGAATAAGGAACATGGACAGAGAGGCGGGTTATGTGACCAGTCGACAGTAGCTACCCCATGACTAGAGATTTCACCATGCACACGAAATGCCGAAGTTAGTCTACCTATACTGGCCTAAACTCAAAGATCAATGGATGGACAATATCAAAGTCATAAACAATGATATCTTAGAGACTTAATTATTATGAATATATCTTAGATTAGAACACAAAAGTATTCCAAGTAAGTTATCATCCGATAAACCAGTATTATAGTAGATAGGAACCACTAAGATCATCATAATTGATAAACACAGGATTCCCCATCCAACAAAATTCAATAGCAAGTATATCATCAAGTAAACTCAATGAGAAAACTTAACCATTGAAGATTGTAGATAGAATGCCAAACAATTTATAAATAACTCGAAGAACACAAAGTATTATTGATTGACAAGAAAAATGCTCGCGAATGGATCACCCGAAGGAATAACATTCCAATCTATCAGAATAAACTTAAGCAACAATCAACAGAATAAAATGAATGCGATAAAACCAACAAACATTCATTCATGCCAATTATCGCATTAGCCAATCCGGATAGATCCTAGCCAATAACACCAAGGAACTCAAGTTGCTTAATCAAGTGTTAGTAACATCCTACTGATGTCTCAAACCCAAAAAACCAATCCAAAGCAAACCACAAAGAACATATGGTATTGTGAAAAGCCAAAATCCATCAAATAGCATAACTAACTATCATAAAAGATCATCAATCATCCTATCAATGAAGAGATGCATAATTATCATTGAATAAAGAATCCACCATCCCATAGAACAACGAATCATTTGATATCAATAACAATCAAGCAAAACCTTTTTAACAAGGATAATTAACTATCCTAGATGATAATCAATCATCACCAATGATTGTTAGATGCAAGAGCCAACTTTAACATCGAAGCTAATAAGCCAAATTGCCTCCCCAACAACTTTTAATAAATGGAACAATGAATATAAAACTCAAAGAACCAAAAACTCGAAGAAGTTTATAGCCAAGCTGTGCCTAACAATGATCACAAGTCTTGCATGAACTAATTTCAATACTAAAGAAGAAATCATGGCACAATCCATAATATCCTCCTTAACACATCCATAAACTAAACTTCATAATGCAAAGCTAATGAAAAGCACATCTACATCAATCCAAAAGCTAAGCAGAATAGAGGTATGTTTAGCAAGTGATCACCAAACGATCCTCCATGAATCCATCTATAGCAAGACATAACTCATTTCATAACAAGCACAAGAAGAATCATCAATGATTGATACATCCCAACTCAAATCCAATAAGGATTCAAATATTCCAATATCAATCACTAACTCTTCTTCTCGTAAGGCTAGTATAGTTCACGACTAAATCACTTTTCAAGGAAAAGCTCGAAACTCAACCTTGACTAAGCAATTGCGTCTAGAACACAACTAACTCAACTTGCCACGTAGTTCATTTGAACGTTAATACAGTTGCTAATTAGCAAATGCACGAATGTTAACAATATAAAGCTACAACCAAATCATCAACACTATCTTTATCAAGACTAATGAAACTCAATATCAATCTTACAGAAAGACATTTCATTTCACTCGAGTCTCAACATTAATAATATTAACAGCAAGGCATCACTTCAATGTCATCAACACCATAACAAAGTTAGAAGAAAGCACAAGTGAATCACCACCCAAAACTCTTTAGCAACCCAAGCTAACCAAAGTCAAAGATACCTTATTCAGTATCTGAGACTAAACCTTCAACAATACTCAACTATAGATAACACGTCATTAATGAGTGATTCACCACATCCAAAACTCAATGTAATCCAATATTACGAGCTAAACGCAACCAAATGATATCAACAAAGGTAGAATCGTCATGCCAACATAGAAAACCTATGTAAAACTAACAACATGATCCTTCGCAACACCATTTGGTAAAGTAAACCTATCACTGCTAAATGAGTGAAGCAAGTGTCAACAGTTTTCGACAAAGCCTACAAGCAATCTCTAGTTACAAAACAACTAACAATCACTCTTCAACTTGCCTTCTCAAGACCCAAACACTAAGCTCATGTTATTGAGTCATATACTTGGCCAACATGAATGTAATATCCCAAATTAAGATAAAGGTTCATGGACAAGCATAAACTAAATGACCACTCGAATCCAACTCAACCGCAGTAAGCTCACTAATGCATTTAGCTAACAGTTCTAAGCATGCCTTGAAGAGGTTAGCTATACATGATCAACACTTAGTCAAAACTAAAGTGAAAACCATGAGATGGATTTATATTGGTACACAACCTTCTCATAAACAAAGCTATAGTACGAGTACCAACATCTCAACCTTAAACAACTAAGTTGGACATCACTATCCTTAGCTAAGGCACAAGGCTACCAAAACCAAGTCAAGATCAATGAGAGCTCACTATTCTCATAGAGTTTTAATGAAATGCAAAGTGCAACCTGCCACCAAGCAGAACGCTATAAAAGAAAGGCACAAGGATCACTTTTCTTAGAAAAGTGCAATGGCCACTTTTCTATACCAACTCCAAACTCTATCCAACTCAATTGCTTTAGCCCCAAAAATCAACATCCCTTTTAGGCTACATCATACAAATTACATACTAAGGTCTAAGCTAACCAAAGTCAACTCCAACCTTTTCACTAGTTTGTATTGGCTTACGAAAACAAAATGGTTTTTGAGCAAAGTAATCAACAGATTAGCCATTGGAAAAGCCTAAGAAAATTTGTGGGGAAAATTTTCCATCCTAGAGAAAGAATGACTCTCAGTTCAAGATTGCAAACTTTCAAGACTCAACCAACTTCCTCCTACAAACAACTTCACATAGGTTCACTTTAACACAAATTTTCATGATCCAACAATATGCTTAAGTATTGACATCTTTGCCCATATATCCAACATCCAACACTGACATCCGCAA